AAAAACCAGCGAGTAATAGGTTAAAACGAAGAGTACTTAATACGTTAAGTAGAGCAAAGGCAAAATAAATAAATCATAATGAGCCAGGTACTACCTACCTAAGTTTCACCACATGGGATCATCAGGGTGAGCAGTTCACCCAAGATGATCCTCATTAGGATTTATTATATATATATATATATATATATATATATATATATATATCGTTGATTTTCAGTCATTTTTGGGACCCCCATAATTATTACTTATCATTAACTAATAAATGATAAAAAATATGCTTATTAGTTTGAAAAATAATTCATGATGGCTGTAGGAGTAACCTTTGTCGTAAAATAAAATTATATGTTGAAAAATAAGCTAATAAAAAATGTTTTCAATCAATTAACCTCGAACAAACTGATAATGATAGTAAGACGCAAGAGGGTGCTGGGAATGAAAGAGAATGAGAAGACTTTAGAAAGAATCGGAAACCCAATCCTAAACAGGAAGCAATGGATAAACCTCTACTCTCGTTCAAAAAACCGAGGAGGAGAGTGAACCGGACGATAGGTGAACCTATTTATTAATGAAAAAAACAAACGAAAAAAGCAAATAAATTATAAATAAGCTTTCAGAGTTTAGGCGGAAACGTTAGTATATTGTTGAAGTAGACTTTAGAAGGAAGCTTAAACCCAGTTCTAAACAGGAAACAAGGGATAAGCCTATACTCCTGTTCAAAAGACTGTAGAGGCGTGTGAACCGGACGATAGGCGAACCTATCTATTCTTCATTATTCGGACTATTGTCCTCATCTTTGTTGCCATATTTATTACACCGTTTCGGCCGTTGTACGCTCCGGCCTTCTTCAGATGGTTGGAATGTCGAATTGAACCCTTTATTTCGCTCACTGGGGTAGACTGTTCTAGTTCCACGTACCATGTTTAATGGATGTCAGTTATCTCCTGTTAATTTCCCTCTCCAAGTTCTCCACTGCCTTAACCGGGTATTGAACTCACATTCTTTGGGTCCTGTCACTGGATCTATCACTCGCTCAACTTTCTGAGCGACTGTTCGGTTCACCTCTCTGTCTACGGACGGAGAGGAACCCGAAGTAAACCCGAAGTAAACCCGGGGAGGTAAAACCGGCCCTGAACCCGCTTAGGCGAGTTCAAATGGGCATATTTTTGGGCCGAGCCCATGGGCTCGGGTAATCCCACAATAAACAACCGACCTTGTGTCACATGTTGCCCTAGTGGGAGGGAGACTAAATATAGTCACTGGATCTAACTAACGCCTTTATCCTCTGTGCCATGTGTGCTTAAGGACACATGGCACAGTGGATGACACATGGTACTCCTGTTCAAAACCCGAGAAGGAGTGTGGAGAAGCATTTATCCGTTGCCTATTTTGGGCAAGTAGACCACAAGTGATGTCCAGCTTGAAAGCTCGCTTTGGTCTCGGACACGTGGCTGTGATTTATTCGGGGGGAACCACCATTGTGTCTTCACCGCACTGGTTGCATACATATTATACCCTATTGCGCTAAATGACTGTTGATCCAATGTGCGAAAATAAAATAAAAGTGAGAATATTGCTGCCACATAAGGTCCGGGGCCACTGTTATTTACCTTGAGTTTCTTGATCAAATCCAAAGAAGAATCAGCAATATTATTTGTCCTGATCTGGCGGCTCGGCTTAAGTTACTTTCCCACCGTCATAAGGTTGTCTGTCTGTGTCTTTTTTTATAAATACTTTCATGGTAATTGTTCGGATGAGAGCTTCATTATGGCACCTAGACTTTTTTTAAAATTTAATCGCAGTACTAGACTGGCGTCGAGATCTCATCAATTTACAGTCAAGCTGGCTAGTTGTAACTGTACATTATATGCTAACTGTTTATCTTCTCGTACTTATCGCTCGTGAAACTCTCTTCCGGTTCCATGCTTTCCAGCCAACTTTAATCTGCAAAAATTTAAATGCAATGTTAATCGCTATCAACTGTCCCCCTGATTACCCTTTCCTCTTCCCGCTCATTATTAATGTTTTTGTTCTTAATTCTTTCACATCCTGTACCCCCTTGTGTCTTAGTGGCTATACTGCCTTGCATAGGGTCATACCGATTTAAAAAAAAAAGAAAAGAAAAGAACGGAAAGATTTTGAATCAGTTCACACCTAATTCCACAAATTCTGTTAAAGGGGTTGGTTTACTTTACTCTCTGCTAACCTTGCTCGGGGTAAGATGTGAACATGCGCATAAATATTGACAAATTTCTTCACTCGGTTGATTGAAATTCCGGAATATTTCGCTAGGCATTCAATCATTTTTCTCCTTTTATTGACTATTTTCGTTGGTTTATTCGATCTATCAACAGTTTTTTTTTTTTTTTTACTATTGTTGAATGACAATACCTCTTTTCATGTTTGCTTCAATCGTCTTAGACGAAAACTTTTATTCATATTCACCGACAGAAGTTTTCACACAATTTTTTCTCACTGACCAAATCAAAGATAAGAGTTGTTAAACTGTATTGCACCCCAAATCTCCCACGCGGAACCACATGAGGAAAATATAAACAACAAAAATACTTCTACACACAATCAGAAATAGACTTGAAATTTCTGGGACACATAATGAGAACTGAGGGCACGGAGAATCTAATACTCACAAGTCATATACCCATTCATACTTACTACTGAGCTAATTTGTCTCA